ATGATCAAAAGCTTTAATAATAGTGACATTTTCTCTACAGTATTTGTAGTCACTGGCAGAGGATGTTGCAACAAAAATAACATCTATGAATATTTAATTTCTAGTGTATTCAAATATGCAGAAAGCACTGAAGCTCCTGAAGACTGAACTGTAAGGGGAAGAAAGAAGCCCTTCAACACCATGAAGCCTGATCTTCCATCTCTTCTCCACTCATTGACACTGGTGAAGAGACTATTTAGAGTGATATTTAGTGATGCGTAGTGCTGGTTTATATGCATAAACACTACAGTTTTACATTAGCACTTTTGTACTGGGCGGCATTTTTAAAAGCTGGAGGCTTTTAATTTAAGGTGTACAGAAGAACACTGTATGATCCAACTGTACAAATGATTTTTTAAAAAATAAAACTGTTTCAAGTGTTTACATACAAAACATTGCTACGTTTTGGGATTGGGGTTTTTTGGGTTTGGTTTTTTTTTTTTGACTTATTATCATTTACCACTACTAGAAAGAATGTAACTACTGTGTTACGTGAGACCACAGCTTGCATTTTTACATCTAAGGACTTCGGAAGTGTAAGTGCTGCTGTGGGTTAGCAGCTCAGCTCCACACAGCCACTCACTCAGTCCACTCATGGTGGGATGGGGAGAGAACTGAAAAGGTAAAAGTGAGAAAACTTGTGTGCTGAAATAAAGTCAGTTTAACAGGTAAAGCAAACGCTGCATGTACAAGCAAAGCAAAACAAGGAATTCATTCACCACTTCCCATGGTCAGGCAGGTGTGCAGCCACCTCCAGGAGAGCAGGGCTCTGTCACATGTAATGGTGACTTGGGAAGACAAATGCCATCACTCCAAACATCCCCCCTCCTCCGTTTCCTTCTTCCCCCAGCTTTGTATGCTGAACATGACACCATATGGTATGGGATATCCTTTGGTCAGTTGGGGTCAGCTGTCCTGGCTGTGTCCCCTCCCAGGTTCTGCACCCCCAGCCTACTCACTGGTGGGGAGGTGTGAGGAGCAGAAAAGGCCTTGACTCTGCGTCAGCAATCACAGAAAACATCTGTGTGTTATCACCACCATTTTGGTCAGAAATCCAGAGCATAGTACCACAACAGCTACTATGTAGAAAATTAACCCTACCCAGCCAAATCCAGTAGAGGAAAGCAGCTTTTTTAATCTCTAATTTCAGCAGCTATCTATGCTCTGTATTGCTTAGCCTGCCTTATCTCCATTTATTTTCTTGTAGCACCAAGCTATGCCAAGCTCTCATTATCAGCCCTTTCTTTACAGTTAGATAACAAGCGCAAACCTTTTACAGAAAAGTTCTTGACACTAGAGAATTGGATTGTTTACACATTGGGCTTTTTCGCTTCTTTTTTTTTTAAGGGGGCTGCATTCTGAAACGACCCAAGGATCACCTTACCTAGTCAAAGATTTTAAAAAACAAACAAACAAACAAACAATTTCTCATAAAAGATTTCTGTTTACATCAGATTTCAGTAAAGCCTTGAGAGGATTAATAGAAGTGATGCTGTCTTGAGTATATGGTTGGTTTCATGATCGCATTACAGCTTGCCATTGCTATTTACAAGCCCAAAAGGGATAAGAGAAGTCAGAACTAAAAGAAAGCTGAATACCACTGGAGTACACACTATCTTAAGACTCAGGCCAAAAGACTTCCCAACCTCAAATATCCAAGAAATCAGCAGCAGCACTAGTGAGCAAAACTGTGCCCAGGACTATACCTCCATTATCTTCTTCGCTTTTTGCTGGTCAGCCATTATCACCACTACTACTACCATTACTACCACTACCAGTCATAATGAGAACCACAAGGGAGGAATAGACTTGGGAGAGTCTCAACCCAACGTACACTTGGTACAGCAGCGTATCTGGCGTAAAACAAGAGCTGCCTGTGCCATTACATTTTACAAGTCTGTTTTTATAACACTACTGAAGTAGCATCATTTTCCTAAGCAGATGTACAGACATTCTGGATAATACACAGCAAACAGATATCAGGCATAAACTACAGCAGTTTAGCAGTCTATGTGCTATAGATGGAAATACACAGGCTAGTTCAGCCTCCATGTATCAAGAAATTAAGTTAAGAAATTCATTTTTTTTGCTCTCAAGGCTATGCTTTTGGCTATTTGTCTCAGCCAAATTTTCAAGATCTTTAATATATAAATGGTCAACTTAATTCTACTCTATATAATGGTCAACTTAATTTACTCCTCTAAAAACAAGTTATTTAGGTTTACAGAGGCATGAAGCCAAGCTGACATACCTAATAAAAACTCTATTTCTTTGGAAAACCTGGGAAATCATTGCTGAAGGACATGGTCAGTAACCTGAAGTACACAGGATGGATGGATTTTTCAGAATTCCACTGGCATTCCAGCAATCTTTGAATAATGAGGCTTAAAAATACAGTGCAAGTTAACAGCACTAACACATTGCCATTCACTTGTCAGCTGGAGATTTTAACGCACATTTTTACAGGTACCAATTCAAGTTATGTAAGCTTCTTTTGTTAGTAATTTTCACACTGAAAGGAGGCAGATACGGTGCAGCAATATCAGTATGTTAAGATCTAGATTCTCTTTCTCACAGAGATGAAGAATTACATTTTATTATTTTACAGCTAGTTATTTTTATGTGGTAAAAATGTGTAGGTTTCTTGAAGGAAGTCAAGACAAGCTTTCTACCAGAATAACCAACTTTAAGGAAGTAATTTGACATAAATAAGGTCAAAAGACATCTAATGTAAGCGACAAGAATGCTCCAAGTTAAACCACTTTGCTGTTTTGATACTCTGCTGCTGTAAATAGCTTCTACAAAATTTGGTTACAATTTAGTCAAATTCTCAAGCACTCAGACAAAAATTAAAATACCTCTCTAGAAACCAAACAACAACAACAAAGTTTTTATACAACCAAATCTATTTTCTTAACAGGAGAGACAAAGCAATGAATAATGAAAACTTCAAAGACAAAACCGTATCAACACATCAGAAAAGTCCAGCATTTCTCATATACCGATGTGCAAGTCAGATCTCCCCTGAGGGAGGATACTCTTCATCCCAAAAACCAAGGTCAGACTCAACATGTTGTATTGCCCCCCTTAAGGATCAGGTTCTGAAAGTCAATTCACACTTCCGATGTGAATTTCAAGGTTTGTATTGGTTGGGTTTTGTTTTGCTGGTGTTTTTCCCTAAATCACAGTCTTCAATAGATTATTAAAGCATTAATATGATAGAAAAACTTTAATCAAACCATATGATCTGCTGATCTGTCTTTTGACTACTCAATCAAATTCATGTTATGAGACATGAGAGCTTCTGAAGTAACGTTGCCAGTATTTTCTCAGTGATGTACATTTACTCTCCAATATCACCTAATAAATTTATGAAACCAGAACAACCCAAAACTAAGCACTAAAAACAATTAGGAAAAAAGCCAAAACTGAAGCAGCAATGTGGTATTATTTTAAGTTTCATAAACCCTCTCCACAAGACTCCTCCTTTAACTTATTACAGGAATGTAAAGAATACAGAGACTTTCTAGACCAGGAAAATTAACTGTTACTAAAGACAGCCACAAGATGACCACCATCCTCCTGACACATATTGAGAACAGCTGGTTAACTGCTTAAACAGGACAGCATTGGCAAGCAGGGGAAAGCTGCATGTATTTACATTATACTTCAGTAATATTCTGAAGTCTCTTAAGGTCTTTTAGTACATGAGTGGGCTCTTACACGGTACTTTCAAGTATGTATTCGAAACAGCCACCAATACTTCATGGCATACAAAGCAGCAATTCATAGACCAAGCACCAGGAGATGGCGCTGACAGCAGGTGTTGAAGAAACAGCTACACCTGAAGAGAAACTGTTTTTAACAACTTCTGACATCCCTTTGCATTCGGGTTCAATTCTTTCCCTTTGAAACCTGCAGACAATTTCTTCTTTGGGAGCACTGGGCACATAAAAGTTCGATAGCATTCTGATGGGCATGTATTTCAACTTCTTTTGCTTCCTCTGCAGTAAAGGGAGGCTGTCTGCCCTGTCATTCTTTCCGCCTCACTCACTTGCGCTATTCCTTGGCAGATGGCCTTAATACTCTTCCCCTTTTCTTCCTGCAGAGCTGTCTTTCAGGCTACAAAAACTGCCTACCACACCAGAAGCAACAACCGAATGAAGAATAAGGTGCAGTGCAGGTCTTTAATTCAGCATGATTAGAAACAAATGGAACATTGTGTACCTCAGGTGTTCCAGCTGATGCATTACTTCTATCAAAGGGTGGAAGAGGGACCATGCTTTCCTTCAGCTGAGACAACACTTACTACATTAATAACACACCATTCTAACCTTGTTTTAAACAAAGAAAAGAATTAAACTACTGGAAACCATAACTTCTCCATCTTTTTTTTTTTTACTTTTTTTTACACATCATTCAATCTCTCATGAAATCAAAACTGTTAGTTGGATGACAGAGGAATATACACTGCTGAGATATTACAACGATAATTTTACACCATCTGAAAAAAAATAAAATAGCTGTACAACAACTTTCCCAGACATCAGGTTTCTTACAGTAAAGATGACAGACCACTATTGATTCCAATGTTGTGCAAATACCAAACTTCATTCACTTGTCAAAGGAAAAAAAATAAAATTTCAAGTTTATCAGCTGCAGATTACACTCTTCTCGTTTTCTTCATTCATTGTTTTCATAGTGAAGATACCCATTAAAAAGTAAAGAATTCTTTTTATTCCCAACAAAATTCTAAAGCTACCAGAAAGCCAAAACATACAGGGAAGAGGTGGGGTGAAGACTACAGTAGTCATTAACATACACTTACGTGCACTACAGAAAATAACATCTTTAGCTTCTATTTTTACCGTAACAGGAAAGTGGTAGACAAACAAGTTGACTATAGTTCATCCTAAAGCCTAATCAAATCATACAGTCCAACCACCCACCACATATTTTTATCATTTTAATGAGAAATCATGTGAATCTTTGTAATCAATAAATACAGCAGAAAACACTTCTGGGGTTTTTGGGACACCAGAGAAGCCAGTAGTGCTATAAAACTTACTTTATAGAGTTCACCAGATCAATCCCACCAAAGTCTTAACAGAGTTATTTAACCTGCTCAAAGCAGCAATTTGACTCTGCCCAGCTACTGAATACACCACTCTACTTCAAGATAAAGATTCTTAGAAGAAAAATAGTGGAAAATTAAATATGAAAACAACAAATTTCTTATGGAAATAAAAGGTTTCTTTTGGGTACATGTAGAATCCATACTACGGAGAAATACCAAACTACACAGAATCAGTATTTTGAAGTAGAAAGTACAGAGGAGATTCAGTGCTTTATAAATCTCAAAGAAATGCACTAGGGTTTGCACGGGGATCCTTTTGGTTCCTGTATCTGTATGTCAGCCAGACTCCCAGAATCTGAAAACAAAAACCAAAGATATTAAGTAGAAGGTCACCACCCCATCTTCTCCCATTTTTACAAAATCTGTTTTAAACATAAAAATCCTGACAATGAATTTCCAGCACACAAGTTCAGGATATTTTACTATTGGTAAAACTGCACAACCACACACCAGCTTTTTTAATTAGAAAAAAGAATGAACCTTCTCAGGAAGAATTCATACCCAGCAACAGAGAGAACAACAAAACAAAAATGCAAAAGGTGTATATGCAGTGCAAAGTACTTCCCATAGGCATGTCTAGCATTAAACTATTCTCCCCTCTGCCATGATACATGTTTTAGTGTAATGATAAACAAATCCTCCAAAGTGTTTTATTCTATAGTTACCACTTAACTACAAGGCTATTTTTCTAGTACCTTTTCAAATCTTGTCATTCCCCCCAACCACCATTGCAGTTCCCATCTGCTTCACATTTTTAGTAGTAAAAATTGAGGGCAGATGTTGGAATGATTCTGTTTTAGTTACTTTTTCTCCCCTGTTGCTGTAATTATCTATAAACCTTCTGAAAACTGCACTAAGCAGCACAAGAAGTATTCTGACATGGTTCAGTGTATGGTTACAAAATACCTGCTCTGAGGATTTTTATCCACTGATCAATATGTATCATCACTAAAGCAAAGAGTCAAAGACCTTTTAACTTGATGCTTAAAATACAGTTCACCCATGAAGAAACTGTATCTGTGCATTACAGGAGGCACAGAAAATAAATAAATCCCCAAACCGAAAAGCCCCAGAGACACTGTGTGTGTGTGTGTGTGTATACAGGTGGCAGAAGGTGGGAAGAACAGGGGCACAAGGTAAAGCAATGACACTTTTAGAGAATGGTAAATCTGAGTAGCTAACTGTCTGCATAACCTAAATTTTACAGAAGCACATTTCAATACGCTGCCTAGATCTGCTTTGTAGCTAAATAGCATAAAGTATTCAACACTGAGTTTTTGCAAAAGACAAACCCTCCACCAAGCTGATAGCCTGGAAAAATGTGACCTAATTATTTGACTCCGAAATAGCACTGGGACTTCCTGTAATACACCCTCTAAAATTAACTGTTTCACAAAACTAAGTCTTAAAAGTGGGGAAAAACAACTCATTTTCTAACGTTCTACTCACCTCTGTGAAACTGAAGAAGAGTCCTATGCCTCCAACAAATCTCAGCACCATTCCAGAATATTCTTCTATTATTGGTGCACATGGTTGACACTGGTGACTTCTAAAGCAATCCTGTAGCAAACAGAGAATTGCACTCCATTTTCTGATGACACTTCATTGATTGAAAGCATCTACTTAGCTCTAGAAAAGACTGCCAGACATGAACAAAACTCCAGCAGCTTTAGAAGACTCCGAAAGAGCGAGTATATAAATGACAATGGAGTACAACTTTTGCAGGTGCTCTGTGATTACATTTCAAATAAGTTAACAAAGAGCTTAGTATCACTGTAACAGCTATCTTATATGTTTGTTAAAAAAAAACCCCTGTGTTTTCTGCAACTATGGAAACAGTTGTACATTTCTGAACACAATGAAAGTTACGTTTTTTCACACTTGAAGAACTTACAGAGAAGCAGGTTTCATTCAGATCAAAAACTCTGAATCCACAACAATTCAGATTTCTTTCAATATCTGTTCTCGCGCTGTTAGTGTTATTCCATCCCACCTCTAGAAGTTGACTCTAGAAGGCATAAGCAAATACGTATTAACTGAACTGTTCTGCATTACACTGGAAACCAGTATACTACCAGGACAAGTTGATAATTCCCTAAAATCTCCAGAGCCTGAAGTCTAACAGGATAATATATTAAAGAATGACTTGCATGTTCAAACAGCCTGTTTAGCTAATTAAATAGCAGCACCTAGCAGCAGCACATGCATGGGTTAATTAATTTTCTTCCCCTTTTTTTTTTTTTTTTACCCTAAACCCAGCAAGAGCACTAGTAATGGGACATGTAACTAATCTAACTGGAACTGCTCAGACTTCAAACAAAGAGTGCACTTACATGTAAAAACTGATTATTTAGTCACTGTACCCTTGCCTGATTCTTATGAGGTGAGAATTAAGTCTCCATATGCCATGGAAGCTGGCTTTACTTTGACACTTCAGGGTCACCTCAATTCCTAATATAGTTACAACCTCTTCAGTTACACAAGAACAATTCAATAGCTGTATCTAATCTACTTTATGATTACTGTACATTTCATCAGCTTATCTGGAATTGCTAAAAGCATGATATAGAGTCAAAACATCACACTGCTACACTTGTGACCATAAACCTACACAGGAGGAGTTTGTTTTGGTTTTGTTTGGGTTTTTTTTTTGTTTGTTTGTGCTTTTTTTGTTGGTTTTTTTTTTTAATTTTCTTGTTTTATTATTTAAAAGTAAAACAATAGAAGTCAGCTGAAAGTCATTTTAGGACCCAGATGTATGTATTTCTAGCTTCCAGAGCCAAGCGCTGCCTAAGGTCTAGTCCTTAAAAGGATAATGCTGATTTTTCTTCAAATATGCTCTCTCCATTTTGTGGAAGACTATATAATGTGCATGTGCACACATACATATTTATAGTATTACGCTATAGATAACTGAGAAGTCAGTAAACTTTTCTTACCTGCTGTTCCTTGTTTAGCGCCAAACAGGCACAGGAGACAGAAAACTGGACAATAAAGACTAGCAAAAGAATAATCATGTACTGGAAACAGTAGTTAAGGATATACTCTCTGATTAACTTTGCTTTTATAATCCACAGGCCTAATGGTATTATTATCCAATGATATAAGGAATAAATCCTTTGAAACAAAAGATAAATTCTGTCTGGATGTGGAAAAGATTACCCAAGTATGATCCCAGAACTCGGTCACCATATATTCTCTCTTTTGGCTACAACTATACGTAGCTGGTATTTCTGGGTTAGGATTCTTGTTCCTAGCAAGATAACATGAGCAGAGAGGTTAATAAAAGGAGCTTTGAGAGAAAAAAAAAAAAAATTAAATCTACAGCCAGTTTCTCCAGCTTTAGGTACTCATGTTGTCATTTCAAGATACTTACAGTAGTAAAGAAAATACTCTTCTAGGTATTACATATTCAGAATATGGGGGGAGGGTTTCTTCAAAAACATAGTCTTGTAATTAATTATAAAAGATAACTTCAGCCTAGATAAAAAAAAGTGAGTTGCTTTTGGAACACAGCTTCACACACTTTTGGACTAATGCATCTAAAACTAGTACAAAACAAAGAACAAACTTTGATACTAAAGATCACGCTCTGAAAGTCAGGCGCTGTCTTCACAATTTGGCTGCTGTGTTCAGAAGTAGATATTTATCTCACACAATTAAACTGTTTGTAAAGTGGAAGTCACTATTTATTCATAGACCACAACCAGAAATATAAGAATTATCTGATTAATGTCTTTTCTCATCCAAACAGATCAATCTTGTTATGCAAGGCAGCACAACAGACTGTTTACACAGTGTCAGTATGCATGAAGGGGCAGCAAAGCACACTGAGAAGGCCTGTGCTCATTTCTAGTCTGCATTTGCAATTAAAGCCTAGGTATGAAAAGAAAGTGCTTCTTTACAGCCTGTATCAACAACATGTTCCCCTGCCAGCTACAACCAGCTCACTATCTGGAAATATCACCTTTCTCTACCGTTAAACATTAATAATGCATATACTCTAGTTTGGTGCAGGGTTGAGCACACAATACAAAGTACCTGTCACGCAGTGAAGCACCATAAAAAGCTCTCCAAAAACTGCAATATTTTCATTTTTCAAAAGAGGAGATATGAGTACTTCTGTCTTCTGAGCACAAACAAGGGAGAAAAGAAGGAAGCTGGAAAAGGTTAAATGGGAAGGAAGTTAAATTTTGACTGCACTTGACCAAAATAATATTGTGAATTTCTGTTCTGTTTTGGAAGCACCTTCCATATCAGTCTCAGCTGGCAGAGCAGGTTGTTAATATTGCTTGAACCAAGCTGCAGTCCATGAGAAGGATACAAAGAACAGCAATACTTGATGATGTTTTACGGCACCAATCAATCCCACTAAGGCAATAAAGAAGAGGAAGATTCCTACTGCAATTGCCACTCCAACAACTCTGAAACTAGAGATGAGGCCAAAGCCGATTCCCCATGCCGCAATTCCAATCAGTAGCAGGCTTACCAGCTGGAGGAAAAAGAAACAAAGAGTTAGTCTGCACATTAAAAGAGGCTTAACCTATAAACAGCCATATTCTTCATATTAAAGTTATTAGAAAGGTACAATTTTAATTCTAGTGCAAACAGAAGTGCAACCCTAAACAAATCAATCCTCCACTTCACAAAGTTCAGTTCCAGATGTTTTAAGGCACGCATTTTTATTCTTCAACATTGTTAATGTGAAGTTGGTACAACTTAATCCACCTACAAGTCAAGCCATGTTGTACTCTCTGTGACTGACTAGAGACACTAAACTCAAGTGTAGATTATAACATAATTGACAAATAAGCTAAAAATCATTAGCTTTAATTCAGAGATGGTATTCAGGGAAGGCAGGCAGAATCTGTCCCGGTTAGTTTAGTGGGATTTATTGTTTATATGATCAGGAAGCTCCAGCCTTTCCCATTTCTATGCCAAAACCAAAACACAGAACAAAAAAAAACAAAAAAAAAAAAAAAAAACAAAAAAAAACAAAAAATATTCCATCATGAAAAGCTGCAGAGAAATCGGTAATGAGGTACAGCTGGAGAAAGCAGCAGGAAAACCAACCCAGATGTCCAATTGTCCTGGGTTCAGCTACAGCAGTCATTTTTTCTCCTTCTTAGTAGCTGGTGCAGTGCTGTGTTTTTGACTTTCAGTCTGGGAACAACGCTGATAACACCGATGTTTTTAGTTGTTGCTAAGTAATGTTTACTCTGACCAAGGACTTTCTCAGT